TTTGAGGACAGACAAACAGCTAGACAGAGAGACAGGCAGACAGACAGACAAACAGAGAGGCAGATAGACAGACAGACGGACGGACACGACAAAAACTATATACCCCCGAAATTTCGTTTACGTGGGCATAAAAATTTTAAACTTAAAAGAAGGTGGAAAAGCAAAGAACAGAGGATGTGTAGTGGAAATGGACAGTAAAAAAAATAATTATACAGTAAAACATAGCTTGTAATGAACTGATACCTGCAGCGAAGTGATTTTCATTCCCTTTGGCTTAAATCATTGATAGTTAATATTGGACATAACGAATTGGGTTTATAACAGCAAAATCGCCCATCCCTGGCACTTCCTTAAAAGTATGCTTTACTGTACATGTATACATGTAAATGTACTGAAAAGGGGGGGGGGTCGTACTGAAAAGGAGAGGAAAAAAGTTAATGGATAGAATTTAAAGCTTATTGCTGCAAAATTTAATCCATGTATATTTTCTAGATGTGTGTTGGAGGGGGGAGGGGGTTCAACAGTATTGTCCGACTTGTTTTTAGCCCTACTGGTCAGAGACCAGAAGAGCTTATGCGATAGTAATGCGTCCGTCCGTCTGTCTAGCTGTCTGTAAACAATTTTTCAAAATGCTACTTCTCCTACAAATTTTGATCTGATTTCAATATAATTTGGCACACAAGTAGACTACACTAAGATACATCATTCTGTATATCGGTTTTTGATTTCAATGAACGGTGTTGCCGTGGTTACTAAAAATAGAAATTTCTGTGAAATACTTTTAAAATGCTACTCCTCCTACAGCTTTAATCTGATTTCAATCTAACTTGGCACACAAGTAGAATATACTAAGATACATAATTCTGTATATCGGTTTTTGATTTCCTAAACGGTGTTGCCGTGGTTACTAAAAATAGAAATTTCTGTGAAATACTTTTAAAATGCTACTCCTCCTACAGTTTTAGTCTGATTTCAATATAACTTGGCACACAAGTAGACTACACTAAGATACATAATACTTTTTATCGGATTTTTTGATTTGATGAACGGTGTTGCCTTGGTTACTAAAAAATAGAAATATCTGTGAAATACTTTCAAAATGCTACTCCTCCTATACTTTTGGTCTGATTTCCATAGAATTTGGCGCATAAGTTCATGTAGACTACACTAAGATACATGATTCTGTGTATCGGTTTTTGATTTCGATGATCCGTGTTGCCGTGGTTACTAAAAGTAAAAATTTCTGTGAAAGACTTTTAAAATGTTACTCCTCCTACAGCTTTAGTCTGATTTCAGTATAACTTGGCACACAAGTAGACTACACTAAGATACATAATTCTCTTTATTGAATATTGATTTCGATGAATGGTGTTGCCGTGGTTACTAAAAATAGAAATTTTATGAAATACTTTCAAAATTCTACTCCAAATACAGTTTTAGTCTGATTATAATATAATTTAGACTACACTGAGATACATTATTATCAGTTTTATGATTTTGATGATTGATGTTGCCATGGTAACTAAAATAGAAATTTCTGTAAAATTTCATTAAAAGCTACTCCTACAGTTGTAGTCTTACTGTATTGCAGTCTTGTCACAAAAAGAGACTTAATCAAGGATCATTATTTTTATTGATTGCTTTTGTAGAGTTTATGTCTCAACTGCTACTTTTCTCTTAATCCTTTATTATAAGTATATACAAACCAGTAGAGCTACAGTCTCGATAGAGACTTCTGGTTTGGTTGATCCAATGACCTTGCCAACAAATTACAGCCTATGATACTCCTCCATGGCACCTGATCCCACCTCTGGAGGTTCGTATTTGCTCTTCTTCTGATTTATATTGTTTGATTGGAAATTGGAGCTTGAAAACTGAAAAGGGAACTGTGGGATAGCCCTCGATTTTGCAATAGCCAAAGTGCCAAGCTAAAAACAAAAACATAGGAAATCAGAGATTACAGAGCTCACCTCAACGAATGTTGTCTTTAAGTAAGGCAAAGTCACACAATTAACCAACAAAAAGTGTACATTCCAAAAATGAAAATATTTAAGCAATTTTGATCTGATACTTTGAAATAGACCTACATAAACAATTTAAACTAGTTCTTCTTCATGAAAATGTAATCAAAATCCAGCATCTGAAGCAAATTTGAGAATTTTCATCTCTTGATGAAAACTTTAACCTGTTCACTCAACTGCAAAATGTAGGTCAGATTCAGCATCCGAAGCAAGCCTGGTAGTGTGCATCCTTAGATGTATCATCCATGCAAGTTTGGTCAACATACGGCTTATAGTTACTTGGAAATGAAACCTGCACCAAAAACTTCAACCTGTTCACTCAACTGGAAAATGTAGGTCAGATTCAGCATCCGAAGCAAGCCCGGTAGTATGCATCCTTAGATGTATCATCCATGCAAGTTTGGTCAACATAGGTCTCATAGTTACTTGGAAAGGAAACCTACACCAAAAACTTTAACCTGTTCACTCAACCGGAAAATGTAGGTCAGATTCAGCATCGAAGCAAGCCCGGTAGTATGCATCCTTAGATGTATCATCCATGCAAGTTTGGTCAACATAGGGCTTATAGTTACTTGGAAATGAGACCTGCACCAAAAACTTTAACCTGTTCACTCAACTGGAAAATGTAGGTCAGATTCAGCATCCGAAGCAAGCCCGGTAGTATCCATCCTTATGCCCTGTTCACACGGAGAGTTTAATTCGAATTAAACGTAAGTTTACTGCGAATTAGCTTCGCTTTGCGTTCACACGGAGAATTTAATGCGAATTAGTTTACTTCGCATTAGTTTACTGCGCATTAAATTACTTCGCATTAGCTCCGTGTGAACGCTAAGCGAAGCTAATTCGAATTAAATTTTTGGGCATGCGTAATGGCAAAATTAAGTCAAATGCGTCATGTCAGTGGTCAAATTGAAGTACTTGTGCTATTTTTGAGTGAAAAACTAAGGAAAAATGTGTCAATCACTAAAATATGTCTCCAGACACTGTGACATTATGTCAAATGCATCTGTTTCAGGATAAGGTGACGTGATTTGTAAATGACGTCATAATAGCCTTCCTCACGCCTGACTGTCAAAGTAAAATTTTAATTCGCATTAGTTTACTTCGCATTAGCTGTCGTGTGAACGCAATTTAATTCGCATTAGTTTACTTCGCATTAGTTTACTTCGCATTAATTTACTGCGAATTAAACTTTTCGTGTGAACAGGGCATTAGATGTATCATCCATGCAAGTTTGGTCAACATAGGGCTTATAGTTACTTGGCAATGAGACCTGCACCAAAAACTTTAACCTGTTCACTCAACCGGAAAATGTAGGTCAGATTCAGCATCCGAAGCAAGCCCGGTAGTATCCATCCTTAGATGTATCATCCATGCAAGTTTGGTCAACATAGGGCTTATAGTTACTTGGCAATGAGACCTGCACCAAAAACTTGAACCTGTTCACTCAACCGGAAAATGTAGGTCAGATTCAGCATCCGAAGCAAGCCCGGTTGTATGCATCCTTAGATGTATCATCCATGCAAGTTTGGTCAACGTAGGTCTCATAGTTACTTGGAAATGAAACCTGCATCAAAAACTTTAACCTGTTCACTCAACCGGAAAATGTAGGTCACATTCAGCATCCGAAGCAAGCCCGGTAGTATCCATCCTAAGATGTATCATCCATGCAAGTTTGGTCAACATAGGGATTATAGTTACTTGGAAATGAAACCTACACCAAAAACTGCACCAAAAATGTTAACCTGCTCCAAAAACATTAACCTGGTCATTCCTTTGCTGAAATTGCAGCATCTGAAACTTTGACTGGTACAATGAAACACACTAGAACCATCTTCCATGCATGTCTAATCAATATAGGACATAGAAGTACTTAAAAAGAAAACTGCTCCAAAAAACTTAACCTTAACCTGGGACGCCGAAGTGGACGCCGACGCCGACACCGACGCCGACGCCGAGGGTATTACATAAGCCCCCCCAACTTCGTTGAGGTGAGCTAATAGGATTTTCGAGTCAAAAGTTATTAGGAAAAATTAACATTTTTGAAAAGTATGTTCAACTTTAAGGTCAAGGTAGCGGGGTTAAAAATCAAGAAGAGGTAGAGGTAAGGGTTTCATATTTGACACGTACATTATCTGTGACAAGATATTTTCGAGCTACGATTTCTGACCCTTTGACCATAGGCACTCCCCATCTTAATTGTTTAAAAAAATATCTCTACTATTTGTTTATAGTATAGTAGAGATATTTTTTTAAACATTTAAGATGGGGAGTGCCTATGCCTTTGACCGGGCTAAGTTTCGAAAAATCAATCTCGGTGATAACTTCTGAATAACATAGATTCTATGATAGGGTGTTCATATTTGACACAATTTGCCATAAATAATGAAATCTCACCGCCAAAGACACCGGGGGACCATAATTCTTTCATACAGAGAGAGAGAGAGAGAGGTCACCCAGCCACGTAGCATCGTTTTTGAAAGTGGGGGGTCAGCCAGAGAAAAAAAATTGACTTACCTGAAAAAGTTGACAAGCAAAAAAAAAAAAAAGAAATTGCTCAAACTCGAAAATCCTATTTTGTTTTTAGCTTGGCACTTTGGCTATTGCAAAATCGAGGGCTATCCCACAGTTCCCTTTTCAGTTTTCAAGCTCCAATTTCCAATCAAACAATATAAATCAGAAGAAGAGCAAATACGAACCTCCAGAGGTGGGATCAGGTGCCATGGAGGAGTATCATAGGCTGTAATTTGTTGGCAAGGTCATTGGATCAACCAAACCAGAAGTCATGACCAGTGTTAAATTTTTGTGACAGACTGACAGAACAACAGACGAATGAGATTTAATGTCCCCTCGCTTTCGCCAAGCGGGGATAAATAAAAAAAGAATCTCTTTCTGCATTCAATGAAACATATGAATAGCAAAGACGTATACTAAGTACCTCCAATTAATTTGAATCGGGCTCGGGATCAACATTCGTGTCCCTGGCAATTGCGACGCTGTGGCCAGTTACTCACTGAGCAAATTATTGACATAACGCATTAACTTTTATAATGGATGTGAAGATACAGGAATACATGTAAATGAGGTAGGGTTACATAACTTTTTGCTTGTGATAATTAACACATAATTTCATTGCAAAGTAGTTACGTAGATCCATGCATAAGAACAACAGAACAAATTCTGGTTGAATACTAAGGGAAGCTAATTCGAATTAAATTTTGACTCATACATATGGTCAGAATTAATTCACAGGCCACATGTCTAGCTAGGTGTCTGCTATTTGTGGTTGAAAGTAAAGGAAAATGATGTTACATGTATAATCACTAAATTCAATGCATAATCAGACACTATGATTATTATGTCAAATGCTCTCAATACATGACATGATTTACAAATGACGTCATAATAGCCTTACTGATATAGCCTTAGTGTGGAAATAAAATTTTAATTCAAATTAGTTTACTTCGCTTTTTAGCTGTCATGTAAACACAATTTAATTTGCATTATTTTAATTCACATTAGTTTACTTCGCATTAATTTACTGCAAATGAAATTCTACCTATGAACAGGGCATTAATAATATAGAATTTTGTGTTGTAGTGTAACAGGTTATGGGAAGTGGTGGCAGTAAAAGTCCACCAGTCAAGGAAACTTTAACATCCAACAAAGAAAACACAGAGTCCTCTTCACCAAGTCCTGCTCCTCTGGACACAAATGTAAACGTTAACAGTGGCGGGCAGTCCACCAATCAGAGTGAAGCAGAGTCTGGGTCAGCCAATCAGAATCAGGACAAAATAAAGCCACAATCCAGCGAGAAATCTGTCCTCCCAGAAAAAGCAGCAGAAAGTGAGGGAAATAAAGAACAAACAGAGAATACGGAAGGAACAATGCCAGTAAGTGTAGACCAGGGCTCCTCTAATTACCGACCTTTTCAAAACATTCTCTAATTTTCTCTCTTCATAATGATTAATTTTGTTAATTTTTATTATGAATTTAGTGCCTTTTAGAACTGGTATACAGTATGTATACTAAATAGACGCAAGAGCTGTTTGTGACGTCAAAAGTTATAAATTACACAGACAAACATTGCAAGGGAAAAATAGCAAATTAATTTTAAAAATACAGTTGTTTTTTATGCTAATTTAACAGGATAATTGTTCTTTATTAAATTGAATTAAAAATATACATTTTGGTGTTTTTAGAGTATTGAAAATGCATAAAGTTCCTGCTGTGTATTCTACCGTGCGGTGACAAAGTTTTGTGTGTTTTAATTGTAGAAATTTGAACCTTATAGATTTCGAATTGATTTCATAAAGAAAATTACACTGAATGTAAATAATGTGATATGTAACATGACACAGTCCCATTGCATCATGATTTATGATGTTCTATATATGGCCGTATTGTTACATGTAAATATATAATGCATAAATACATCCACACCAAGAGTTGTATAGACCTATGTACTTTTATACAATTCTGTCTTGGTGACAAAGTAATGTATCTTTGCTTTCCTTTTAGACAACAAAACCCAAAGAGGGTGCCAGTCCCGCGGAATCTGAGGAGAGACTGATCCCGGAGGTTCACAAGGAACAGCAGTTGTTTGATGACGCTCTCAGCTCCGCCTGTCAGCTGGTCAAGAGTCAGAGTCTGATGAAGCTGGTCACCCTCAATGTCACCTCCCTCTGTCTCCAAAGAGCCCTCCCCCAGGGATTCTCCCTGTACGAACTCCTCAAGAAAATGACCAATTTACAGGTAACTTTGATCCCTTAAGGGCCTCTCCCTGTATGAACTCCTCAAGAAAATGACCAATTTACAGGTAATTCTTATCCTTAAGGGATTCTCCCTGTATGAACTCCTCAAGAAAATGACCAATTTACAGGTAACTCTGATCCCTTAAGGGATTCTCCCTGTATGAACTCCTCAAGAAAATGACCAATTTACAGGTAACTTTGATCCCTTAAGGGATTCTCCCTGTACGAACTCCTCAAGAAAATGACCAATTTACGGGTAACTCTGATTCCTTAAGGGATTCTCCCTGTATGAGCTCCTCAAGAAAATGACCAATTTACTGGTAACTCTGATTCCTTAAGGGATTCTCCCTGTATGAGCTCCTCAAGAAAATGACCAATTTACAGGTAACTCTGATCCCTTAAGAGATTCTAAATGTTTGAGCTCCTCAAGAAAATTTCAAAGGAAAAATCTCTTAAATTGTTTTAATATTTTACAGATCTCTTACCTAGTGATATAGATATATGATATATTTACAGGATTTGGACCTGTCACACAACGACATGGGACCCCAGGGTTTCCGCAGCCTCTGTCTGGCTATGTGTACCAATACGTCTATATTGTGTCTGAATCTCTCTGACAACAAAACTGACACAGACAGCGCTGTAAGTACAATATGGATTCCATTTCTATTTGTTTTGTCTGTGATAACTCCTTGAAAGTTGGTGGATTTGATTTCTTGATATGATTCTGTCGGCATGTAAATTTCACTAAGCAATACATTAGAGCTAAGGAGGCCTAGCTAATGTGCATGTAAATATTGTGTCTGTCTTTGTGTTTGATGTCAGTGGGTGGGCACTATTGAAATCGACATTGGTGGCCTCAAGAATTTAAAAATTATTAGACTACATTTTTAAAATCTTAATTTACAAATTTATTTCACAATGAAATGGAAATATAAGGAATCACTGTCTAGTTAGTAGAAATATGCCAGGGCATCGTTCATGCCCTAGCCTATTCTACTAACTTGACAGTGATTCCTTGATTATAGGAGTACTGTCTGTTCAAGATGAGAGTACTAGGAAAATTTTCATTTTAATGATGATTGCCATATGCAGTAAGAGGTTATAATTTTTATTTTGTGTTCATCACAATACTGTATACTGTAGATCACTAATTTTTTGCGATACCTTATTTTCGCGAGGTAGTCATTGATTCCTGATAAGCAAGACAAAATTTTCAAGCATTATGGTTATTGCTCTATATAATCCAAAGGAATGCTATTAAACACAAAAAATTAAATTTTCCTGAGCACGCTATCTCGGGTAAATACGTGAAAATAAATTTCTCGCAAATCAAAAGTGATTTACAGTAATATACATTTCATATATTCATTTGTCAAAAGAGAAAGGTGTCGATGCAGGTGGACATTTTGGCCAATGGGTTTTGTTGTTTATTTGTTATTAGTTACTTCTTTATTTATTTATAGGAATGCCTTGGATTGATGCTGAGTCATAATGGCAGCATGTCTTATCTCAATATCTCAAATAATTACTTTGGAAAAGATTATTTCTCACGCTGTGTTGGACCAGCCCTGAAGACAAACAAATCACTGATGAATTTCAGGTAGGACTGGAAAAAAATGAATGTCCAGTAATTAAAAAGAAAACTCATCTGTATATGCATAGATATATTGGGATATTGTTTTTTATATTGTATGAAAATCACTCCCTTATTATCTGAAACAGAGCTGAAAACATAGGGGCCACTGATGTGAAGGATTTCCTGGCAGGACTAAAAGAGAACACGTCTCTAACAGAACTGGACTTCAGTAATAACTGGGTCACAGACAAAACAGCTCTAGGGGCTGGATTGGGTGAAGTCTTAAAGGTTAGGTCATAATCTTACTTTATCAGACTGTTAACCAGGTATTATTCGCAGCATCTTTTATTTACAATTCTTGAGTTCAGAAACTGGTTCTGCATGATAAATATTCAAGACTGAAAGAAAGTCAAGAGACTCACAGATATTTCTTGCTAACGAATCAAAGTTGGTTTACAGTAGTGTTGGGTAATGGACAGGATAGTTTGAAGTTAAACATATTGGATGATGTTTGGTAAAGACAATAAGAAAGGGATAGTGAGGAAATAGTAATACAGTACAGCTATTATCCAAAGTTTGATATATTGGATATTATTGCTGGGTAAGAAAAATAAGGAATTGTAAAAATAATAATCCAAAGTTTAATTTATTGGATGTTCAGCTAGGAAGAGAGCATTATGAAGAGTTGTTTATATAGTCCTATTTACATTTGCAAATGTTTCCCTTTATATAACAAAATTGAAAGCAATGCATTTCTGTAACTGTATAAATACGGGTTCCTCGAACGTCATAAATGTTCGACGTAATTTACTTGTGACTTCATAAAAGTTCAACGCGCTATCAATGGAGTAAATACATGCCGTTGCGTTTGAAAAATAAAACATTTCAATTAAGGCAAATATAAAATATGATAAGTCACAAATGTAAATATAATTAATAATTTATCATTTTAAAACATCTATTGGGCTAATAAAGACGGGTTGGCGAGATCAAATTCATCATAAAGCCCTTTGGGCTTCATGGAATTCGATCTCGTGACCGACCTGTATTCATATCCCGATATTTTTTTAAAATGATACCTTATTTCTTAACTAAATTTAATGGATCAACTATTGCTGCTTATAATGACAAAAATGAAGGGCTTGTCCTAAGTTTGATACATGTGCTCTGTAAAGGACAAACAATATTCTTAAAAGTACATGTTGACTGTTGAAGATATAAGTTGATCTGTAAGACAAAGCAAATGAAGTCTTTTTATCGTATATTGGACAATCCTTAAATTAGGACAATCCAATATATCACTGAATAAATAGGAATAGCTCTCGGACAGCCCAGGACAGCTGGAATTTTTTATGTAATGTATTTGTCTTCCCATCTTTTAATCAATCATGTCATACCATGCTGGTGACACTGTTTTCTCTCATGGGATACAACTTTAGATAAATAAATAAGAATACAGGTATATCAGCAAATACAATGGTGATCCTCTGTAGTATATAACAAATTCTTTAGATGAAAAATTAGAAGTATAGGTATTAACAATATGACTCTCTGCTTTAGTCTTGTACAAGTTTGAATCTTGTTGTTGATACAGAAGAATTTTGTTTTCAGAGGGAGAATTGTGGCCTGGTCTCTCTGGCATTGGCTGGTTGTGAAATAAACAAGACAGGAGCCGCCCATCTCCTGGAGGGGGTGAAGGAGAACACCTCCTTAAGTGAACTCAATGTCAACAGACTGGAGGTACACAACCAATCCAGTCACATCACTCATTAAATATTTCTTATAAGTAATTAAGGTAAATGATTGGTTTGTTTTAATTATGATTTTATTTTCTCTGAACAGTTCGAGTCACTGTCCCACTTACTGCATTTTGTTGCTGCTTCTGCTAATAATCCAAATTTACAAGTTCTATCCATTGATGGTGCCAAATTTAAAGACACAACCGTTGATACCAAAGGTATTGTGGATTGAAAAATGCAAAATCTGTTAAAGTAAAAATAGATATTAAAACAACCTTAGCTTTTAGTCAAAATGAAAAAAATTAGGTACATGTATTCCTTATCGCATGCAGGTTCAAAAGTGCACAGATTTATAACAGACAGTTACCAATAATATGGTATTTACTATTTATACAGATATAGTTGTTCCGGCCAGAGAAGCCCCGCCCTCCTTACAGATTCTGAGTTTGAGTGACAGTCACCTGACGGATGAATTCTTCGAGGCTCTCCAGACACTGTACCAAGGCAGGCAGATTCCGCTGGTGGAAATTGACGTCAGTAGCAATGACGGCTTAACGGGAAAATGTGTACATTTCCTCGCGGAACTTACAAAAGGTAAAATTATTTAAACAGTTTTGGATTGAATGCATCATGGGGCTGTGTATTTAACGAAGTATTTTAAAGAAATTTAATTTTTGATGATTCATAAGGATGTGAACTACCGGTACTAGGCTTCACTGCAGTGTATTTCATGGACTGCATACTTGCTTCCTGATGAATATGCAGGGTTGAAGCATTGTAATTCTTGTTCCTCATGAATTTTCAATTGTTTTTTATTTCTATTATTTATTCAATGACTTGCCATAGATTTATGTCATTTTACTATACTATCATTTGTAGAAGATTTTACTATTTTTTTAATGTTTAAGGTGTTTAATAAAGGCCTTCTTAATTTTATTTTTTGAATTAATTTTCCAATCTTACTGTCAGGAGATGAGAGTCCCTCAACAATACAAAAACTAAGACTGGGTTTGTGCAGTGGAGTGAAAAGTTTACCGGAGGAGTTGATCAGCAGTGACCTCCCTTGTCTGCACTATCTGAATGTTAGGAAGTCTAAGATACCGGATCTCTACCATCTGTCTAAACTGTTCACTGAGAAAAACCTGACCACTCTGATCCTGGATGGACAAAAAATTGCCAACACTGATACACTAGAGAAACTTCTAGGTGAGAAAATAAAAGGGGAGAGAGATCAGAGAGAGGGGGAGAGAGAGATAGAGAGGGGGGGGGAGAGAGGTGGCAATATAACAATAATTAGTCAAGATATTTTTGATGACCTGGTAAGTATTGTTTATTATGCCACATGTACATGCTATACTGACATTAACATAATATTGTCAACTGGGAAAAAAACTTGTAATATAAACTTAAGTGTTATATTATCAAGATTTAATATACTGTAAAACGAGAAAAAATTTGGAAATGTATTCAAAAGGCAATATTGAAGTATATTTTAATGCCTTATTGTAATTTTGAAGAAAAAATCCTCATAAGGATCACATTGATTGAATTCCTAGAGTGTTTGAACCACGTGCAGAATTTCTGAAATACATGTATCTCGTAATTATTTCAGCTGGATCCAGCAAAAGTCACCTGACAACGTTAAGTCTGAGTAGCTGTGCTCTGTCAGCCAATGATATCAAACCACTCTCTAACGTCATCAAAGAAGGGTTAAAACTTCAGATGCTTAAGCTGGCGGGAAACAGATTGGAGGATCAGGGGGTGTTGGTCTTAGTGGAGGCAGTAGCAGCTAACAAGACACACCCTCTGGCTGTATTGGATGTCTCCGATAATACAGTATGTCTCTTGTAAAGCGGTATATCTTCAACAATATGGTACAGGCATTTACTGCATATGTTAGACGTCTCCTATAATACAGCATGTCTCTGATAATACAGTACATATACAATAATATGGTACTGTCACAGGTTTACTGTGTTTGAAGTCTCTGATGATGTGGCATAGCAATTACTTTGCAAGTTTTAATCAATTATATGGTACAGTCATCAAGTTGTTTCCTCCTGTGACAATCACTACTACCTGAATATAAATACTTCATCAAATAGTTCACAGTGTTTTATTTTTATAATCATTTTTTTCAGTTTGGTGATGAAGGAGCAAAACAGATAGCCAGTTTATTTACAAATAAGAAGCATAAGACACAACTCCATAGCCTTAATCTCAGTCACAATAATGTAGGTAAGTCATAATAATGTGAGTAAGTCAATCCAAACTCAGTATCTTAGAATCTCATTCACAATAATGTGAGTAAGGCTATCCAAACTCAGTATCTCAGAATGTCAGTCACAATAATGTGAATAAGACAATCCAAGCCCAGTATCTCAGTCACAATAATGTGAATAATGCAATCCAAACTAAGTATCTCAGTCATAATAATGTGAGTAATGCAATCCAAACTCAGTATCTCAGTCACAATAATGTGAATAAGACAATCCAAACTCAGTATCTCAGCCACAATAATGTGAGTAAGGCAATCTAAACTCAGTATCTCAGTCACAATAATGTAAGTCAATCTAAACTCAGTATCTCAGAATCTCATTCACAATAATGTGAGTAAGGCAATTAATCCAAACTCAGTATCTCAGAATCTCAGTCACAATAATGTGAGTAAGGCAATCCAAACTCAGTATCTCAGTCACAATAATGTGAGTAAGGCTATCCAAACTCATTATCTCAGAATCTCATTCACAATAATGTAGGTAAGGCAATCCTTACTCTTGTGACTTTTATAATTGTAGGTAAGACCGGGCTCCTGGCTGTAGTGTCTGTGATTGGGGGGAAATCCCCTCTGAGGACGCTCTATCTACAAAATCAGACCACGGCACCACAGCTGACTATCCCAGACATGGTGGAAGTCTACACCAAACTGGCTCAAAACCTCGGTTTGTGTTACTTCTGTCAATGTTAAAATGTACTTTAATTTTTAAGTGAATAATCATCAAAAATTGGTCAATTTGCATATTAACGAAAAATTTAATAAAAACAAGTTTTTAGAGTCTTCATTAACTTCTTATTAACAAACAGGTTTTAAGATAAAGAAGACAGGAGACCAGATCGAGCCTGGTTCCTGCGATCTCCCCAAACTCCCTGAGGGTCTGGTGGTACGTCTTACAGAGCTGGGGGGTAACACAGGTAAGAGATCACTACTCCTGGGGGGGGGGGGTCAACTATAAAATCTGTACCCCACAAAACCAGCTACAGGAGTAACACAGGTATGAAATCTTGACCCAACAATTAATGAATAAATGACAGCTGATGGTGATGAAGGTAAGAATTCTTTACTCTATAATGACTGCTGGAGGAGACATAGGTTAGATTTCTCTTTCCTACAATAGCTCGTGGGAGGGGTAAGGGCAACACAGTAAGAACTCCTATACTACAATGACTGCTTAAGGGGCACACATGCACAAATCTCTTCTCCATATACATGTATCTTCTGGGAGGGGGTGACACAGGTGAGAATTCTCTACTCTACCTCATAATAACTAGGACAGGTACCACAGGTAGAATTCTCTAATCTACCCTACAATAACTGGGAGGGGGTACCACAGATAGAATTCTGTACTCTACCCTATAATAACTGGGACAGGTACCACAGGTAAAAATCTCTACTCTATACTATAATAACTGAGAGAGGGTACCACAGGTAGAATTCTCTACTCTACCCTATAATAACTGGGAGAGAGTAACAGGTAGAATTCTCTACTCTACCCTATAATAACCGGGAGAGAGTACCACAGGTAGAATTCTCTACTCTACCCTATCATAAATAAGAGGTGGTACCACAGGTAGAATTCTCTACTCTACCCTATAATAACTGGAAGAGGGTACCACAGGTAGAATTCTCTACTCTACCCTATATTAACTGGGAGAGGGTAACACAGATAGAACTCTCTACTCTACCCTACAATTACTGTAAATTTTTAAAATGAACTCTTCCATATAAATGGATGCAATATCCCTCTCAAATACAATTGACCTATATTTCATTGAAAAAAAAAATTGAAAAGTAAAATTTCCTAGTAGTCATAACTTTATTTTGATAATGAAGAAGAAAGTTTTAATTGGAATAGTATTTTCTAATATTTTTTATAATTAACATGAACTAAACATTGAAGCATGCTGGTGTGAGACTTTGTGAATATAAAGTGACTCTCTATAATGTATAATTTGTAGGTGACATTGGTCAGATGTTGGATAGTGTTCGGATTAAGACGGATTACATCCTTGAGAAACCCCCACTGTTACCTTACAGTGATATCCTGACCATTTGTGCCGTACTGAAAGGTTCAGGTATGCTCACATTTTGTTTTGTTCCTATATAAACATAGACAAGATAATTAAAAACAAAGCCATCCCACATGGTATTGTTAAATTTGAATCTTAAATAAAAGAGATATAATTTTTATGTTTAATGAAGGAATTAAGTGCAACATTAAAATGAGCCATTTTCTGGGTTCCGGCCCCAGGATAGGTTAATTTGATCATAAATTTATACTGAAAATTTCCGAACACCTGCACAATCTTGTTGTAATTGTAAAACAATTACGATGGGCCTATTCTAAAATTATGCATTTCACTGTTAATTATCCGACAGTCCATGGAAAATGTTGGGTCAAATGTATTAAATCTTGATAAGGTCTGTGCTTAATGCTAGATCTTTGAAGAGGCTTATATTTTTGACTGGATGCTCAAGGACGCTCACAATCAGATTTGTCAAAACTTTCCAATAATTACATTTCTGAATCAACTAAATATTAAAGCCCTACTGGTGATAAATCAACATTTATTTCCTTACAATACTCTAGAGATACAAGGAAATTTTAGTTTTAAAATCCACATACTAAATGTAGGAGTTTATGTTATATTCAGTACTGTACAAAGCACATACAACCTGCAGTGAAGAACACTAATTGGTATAAAAGATATCGTCATGTAAGAAGTTTTAGTTGAAAACTTGAAGCAGCTTTAGGGCACATCTGAAACAAACATTACAGAGTTAGGGGGAAAACTACTCCAAAAATGTACTAAAATTAATTCTTAAAAAAGACATGAGAAAATCTTCAATTCATTTTCTAGGTTCTGAGATTCCTGTGTGGTCCAGTGAACACTGGAGAATGATAACAGGACTGAACCGACCGACGGCTGATGCCCCGTCCTGGCTAGAGGTAGGTAATTGTCAACATTATGTAAATGTCAGCATATCATCTTGTGTAATAATGTTTGTACAGAGGGAATCCAGATTTTGGCCTTTGCTTGCAATAGGATATCTGCATGATAGACATATGTTTATAAAACATTAGACTGACCATCGTATGAAAATCTGACTGTATCTATGAACTGTTATGTAATATCTGACTGATAAACTGTAATGTAATATCTGACTGATAAACTGTAATGTAATATCTGACTGATAAACTGTTATGTAATATGTGACTGACAAACAGTAGTGTAATATCTGACTGATAAAATGTTATGTAACATCTGACTGATAAACAGTAATGTAATATCTGACTGATAAACAGTAATGTAATATCAGACTGATAAACTGTTAGGTAACATCTGACTGATAAACAGTAATGTAACATCTGACTGATAAACAGTAATGTAATATCTGACTGATAAACAGTAATGTAATATCTGACTGATAAACTGTTATGTAATATCTGACTGACAAACAGTAGTGTAATATCTGACTGATAAACTGTAATGTAATATCTGACTGATAAACAGTAATGTAACATCTGACTGATGCACTGTGTTATGTAATAACTGACATATAAACTGTTATGTAACATCTGGTAAACTGTTATGTAATATCTGACTGACAAACAGTAGTGTAATATCTGACTGATAAACTGTAATGTAATATCTGACTGATAAACAGTAATGTAACATCTGACTGATAAACTGTTATGTAATAACTGACTTTAAACTGTTATGTAACATCTGACTGATAAACTGTAATGTAATATCTGACTGATAAACTGTAATGTAATATCTGACTGATAAACTGTAATGTGATACCTGACTGATAAACTGTTATGTAATATCTGACTGACAAACAGTAGTGTAATAACTGACTGATAAACTGTTATGTAATATCTGACTGATAAACTGTAATGTAATATCTGACTGATAAACTGTTATGTAATATCTGACTGATAAACTATTATGTAATATCTGACAGATAAACTGTAATGTACTATCTGATTGATAAACTGTTATGTAATAACCGACTGATAAACAGTAATGTAATATCTGACTGATAAACTGTTATGTAATATCTGACTGATAAACTGTAATGTAATATCTGACTGATAAACTGTAATGTAATATCTGACTGATAAACTGTTTTGTAATATCTGACTGATAAACTGTTATGTAATATCTGACAGATAAACTGTTATGTAATATCTGACTGATAAACTGTTATGTAATATCTGACTGATACACTGTAATGTAATATCTGACTGTATTATCTGCCTGACGATCTGGTGTGTAATATCTAACAGATAAATTTCTGGAATTTTTCACTCATATTGAGTGGTCACCACTTGCTCATGGAGGACCTCACGTATGTACAATATAACAGCTCATAGACAAAATTCGATATAGTATCTCACAAATAGTCTGAAATGTAATTGACAAATTGTTAAACATTTGCGTTACAATCTGTGATGTAATAGTTGACTGACAGACTGCTTTCCCTTGTTCACAGTTACCCGACAGTCGAGATCGGTGTTTGTATCTCAGCAATCTCCCGGCAAACTCCACCACGCAGAAACTGGAGGCCATACTGGAAATGGACGCCGACTGTAACCTAGACGAAGTCTGTCTGATGAAGGTTCGTCTCTAACATCTATCTGACTCTTTTTTACAGAAAACAAAATCTGTTTATTTGAACATTTCATTTCCATGCTAATTTTATTGTTGTATCAGTCATCAAAAAGTCTTTTCATACAAAAGCAAAAAGATATGTTAATACAGTACTGCTACTAGTGCTTATCAAAGGTACATGGACACAGATTTCAAGTTAATATTTTCTCAGATTTTCTGTAAAATATCATTACTTATATGTTGTCATAGCAGTTCACAATATGATATTAAAAAACTTATTTTATCTGGAAATTATTGAAATTTCTGGACGCATTTGATGATCAAGATCTTGCACTTTCACAAAATATTCTTTATTCTTAATACTCAAAAAAGAAAAAAATTGTATATTAATGAAAAATGTTAAAACTGAATTAGATCCAGAATATTCAGAGTAGAAATGAAAGAAATCAAAAACAACTCACCGGTATTGTCTGTTGGTTTGTCTGTAGTTTAAACAATTGAACATGCCCAGTGAAACATAAACATTAAAAATAACAGAGCTTGTGCCCTCTTTACAAAAAACAGTAAACATTTCCCTAACCTGACTGACTAGCTTAAAACAGCCCATCTCAAAACTTTTTTAATCTCCAGAAAGCAATTTTTTTTAAACATTCTGGAAAGTGGATTTTAAAATTCAGCATTGAAATTTTCTATGAAAAAATTTCTCACCTATACCTACTGACACAATTTATTTTTCATGCTGAGTCTGGAGAAGGCAAACATTTTTAAAGTTTGGCTATAGCCATTTATCAATTGAGATTAACCTTTATTTTTTTTATTGATAGGACCCGGTGACTCGCAGTGTTAACGGTGTTGGGTGGGCATTAATGACAGATGAAGAGTCGCTACAGAAAGCCGTGGATTTCTACAACTCAGGGGAGGTCAGGAGCTGATAATCTGTTATTCAAAATTAATGTACAACTTTACTGTGCATTGAACAATTCTGTACAGGAATGACTTTGAACAGCTAACTCTAATTTGTTTTTACACAATAGTTTACTATTTAAATATTTGTAATTAATATAAATTTGCAGGCAAAGGTCTTTGGACAATCCTTCATTATATCCAGGGTGAAAGTGAAAGTAGATGATGATGAACATTCTGTGGCAGCTCAAAAGGCCAAGTAAGTTAGACTTCATTATTCTCAGCAGCCATTTCAATCCATTTCAGATTACAATTAGTTTTAAATTGATAGTACACATGTACTATAAATATATTATGTATATATTGTTTATGCAAGCATCTCATGTAGTTCATATAGATTATGTGTAATGTAGTATACCCCTTGTCAACCAAGTGGAGAATGTACTGTCCATGCATCTAATTCATTATTTATTTTTTTATATTTTTAATTTACAGAGAGGACCTAGAGTTGAGGATGAAGTTGAGACAGAAAGAGGAACAGGACCTCAGACGATTAATCCAGAGGACAACAGAGGAGTCATGGAAACGCCACGCCTACCGACTGGCTCACCCCGCCTACGCCGATGGCAGGATCTGGTAGTCACAGCAACATATCTCTGTCAGGCAGCAGTGGTATCCGTCCATTGTGATAAACTATATTTATTTCATAATCTAAATGAAAAACAGATTTTTACCTTTCATATATTTGAAGACGGCAATTAAAAGTGTGAACAAGATACATTGGAGATGGTGATGTAATCTATACAGCACATTTAATGATCGTTCAATGCCACTATTATGAGGAAATCCAATTAAAAATTAATTTTCAATGCATGCCTTAATTTCCTTTGTGATAATTTATAATTAGTACCTTGTCTATTCTTTTCATAACTCATTTTAAGAACACATTGACATAATCATTTTTAGCTCACCCAATCTAAAAGCTCAAGTGATAACCAGTTGTTCAGCATCTGTTTATCCATCTGTATGTCCTTCCATCGGTAAACTTTTCACATAATCAACTTGTTATCAAGAACCACTCTGCCAATTTTATCCAAAATTGGCACAAAGCATCCTTAATTCGTAAGTGGATTCTATATTGTCACTGAAGAGTCAAGTCCCTTTCAAAGGAGAGAAAATCAAGAAAAAGGCAAAAATAATTAATCTTAGGGTTGGGTCATTAAAAAATCTCAAAAACCACTGTGCCAGTAAAACTCTAAAATTTGTGTGGAAGCTACCTGAAGAATTGCAGATTTTAAAATATTCAAGTCATGACCCCAGGGCCACAATAAAGGGGATGAAAGTTTTACATTGAGATGAATATTAGAAAATTCATTTAAGAAATAACTACATGTACTTTTCAATTACAGGGGCCGGTAACATACTATAAATATTTGATTTTACATAATTACAATATTTTTGTTTGGTTTTTGAGACTAAAATATCAAGGTGGTTCAAGGTTAATATCTGGGGAATTTTTTATTCTTCCAATCTTATTATCTAACTTCTAAAGATATTTTGAAGAAAAACAAAAGCATGTGTTATCTTTTGTTCCTTTGAAATCTGGTTTGGTGTGTGTAAAAATGTTGTTTTCTGTTGGGCAAAAAATATGAAGGCTTACATGAAGTATGTTTATAGCAACTTTCAGTTATCATGTTTGATTTCAATATTTGGGAATTGTCCAGACCTGTTTAAAGTTAGGATAGAGCCATTTTTTCAAGGATTAGTATAAAAAATGTTTTAAAAAGAAATGCGCTGACTGTCCAAGAGTTACTTTTATTGATGGAACTTTTATGTCCTCTATTGTGGGTTTTTGTTTTGTAATGGATCTGTCTTTTGATTTCAATCTTTTTGTGAACCAGCGTGTAGATCTTTATCTGACTCAGTGTTTAGGTCTTTATCTGACTCAGTGTTTGGGTCTTTATCTGACTCAGTGTTTAGATCTTTACCTGACTTAGTGTTTAGGTCTTTATCTGACTCAGTGTTTAGGTCTTTATCTGACTCAGTGTGTAAGTCTTTAGCTGACTCAGTGTTAAGGTCTTTATCTGACTCAGTATTTAGGTCTTTAGCTGACTCAGTATTTAGGTCTTAATCTGACTCAGTATTTAGGTCTTTATCTGACTCAGTGTTTAGGTCTTTATCTGACTCAGTGTTTAAGTCTTTAGCTGACTCAGTGTTTAGGTCTTTAGCTGACTCAGTGTTTAAGTCTTCAGCTGACTCATTGTTTAGGTCTTTAGCTGACTCAGTGTTTAGGTCTTTAGCTGACTCAGTGTTCAGGTCTTTAGTTGACTCAGTGTTTTGGTCTTTATCTGAATCAGGTCTTTAGCTAACTCAGTGTTTAGGTCTTTATCTGACTCAGTGTTTAGGTCTTTAGCTGACTCAGTGTTTAAGTCTTCAGCTGACTCAGTGTGTAGGTCTATAGCTGACTCAGTGTTTAAGTCTTTAGCTGACTCATTGTTTAGGTCTTTAGCTGACTCAGTATTTAGGTCTTTAACTGACTCAGTGTCTAGGTCTTTAGCTGACTCAGTGTTTAAGTCTTTATCTGACTCAGTGTTTAGGTCTTTAGCTGACTCAGTGTTTGGGTCTTTAGTTGACTCAGTGTTTGGGTCTTTAGCTGACTCAGTGTTTGTGTCTTTAGCTGAGTCAGTGTTCAGGTCTTTATCTGACTCAGTATTTAGGTCTTTAACTGACTCAGTGTCTAGGTCTTTAGCTGACTCAGTGTTTAGGTCTTTAGCTGACTCAGTGTTTAGGTCTTTATCTGACTCAGTGTTTGGGTCTTTAGCTGACTCAGTGTTTGTGTCTTTAGCTGACTCTGTATTTAGGTCTTTAGCTGACTCAGTATTTAGGTCTTTATCTGACTCAGTGTTTAGGTCTTTATCTGACTCAGTGTTTAGGTCTTTATCTGACTCAGTGTTCAGGTCTTTAGCTGACTCAGTGTTTGTGTCTTTAGCTGACTCAGTGTTTGTGTCTTTACCTGACTCAGTGTTTAGGTCTTTAGCTGACTCAGTGTTTAGGTCTTTAGTTGACTCAGTGTTTAGGTCTTTAGCTGACTCAGTGTTTAGGTCTTTAGTTGACTCAGTGTTTAGGTCTTAACCTGACTCAGTGTTTAGGTCTTTAGCTGACTCAGTGTTTGGGTCTTTAGCTGACTCAGTGTTTGGGTCTTTATCTGACTCAGTGTTTAGGTCTTTAGCTGACTCAGTGTTTGGGTCTTTAGCTGACTCAGTGTTCAGGTCTTTATCTGACTCAGTGTTTAGGTCTTTATCTGACTCAGTGTTCAGGTCTTTATCTGACTCAGTGTTCAGGTCTTTATCTGACTCAGTGTTTAGGTCTTTAGCTGACTCATTGTTTAGGTCTTTATCTGACTTAGTGTTTAGGTCTATATTTGACTCACTGTTTAGGTCTTTAGCTGACTCAGTGTTTGGGTCTTTAGCTGACTCAGTGTTTAGGTCTTAATCTGACTCAGTATTTAGGTCTTTATCTGACTCAGTGTTTAGGTCTTTATCTGACTCAGTGTTTAGGTCTTTAGCTGACAAAATTTTCTTTTTTCACCATGGAAAATGCGTTACACTAAATTTTCATTGAATGGGGACATCTTAAAAGACTTTTATTTCAAACGATGTGGGTATCCATTCTCTTATCAGAGGTTGTCAACAAACATATTATGACTAAATATGATGTAAGAGAACGATCCTGTGAAATATCAAAGAGATGCGAGAAGATTTTTCAGCTTTTTTTCTAGAATAAACTCTGTTTAAGGTATTTTTGTTACAACGGGACAAGACGAAAATTGACGTCATTCCAGAATATAGTAGTCTGTCAATGTGTACATGCCTTGTAATAATACTTCTTTTTGTTACAATATTATTGGCGAGAAAAAATCCTTTATTTTCACATTAAATACTACATGTTTATTATCAAGACTGTATTGCAAATGTAAGCTGAAAACGGATTAAGCTTATTATTTCCTATTAGTATCAGTAGCGTATCAGAAACCCTTGGCCAGCGAAGATGAGTTTTTGTATATTTCTCTTTGAAAGTACAAGAATTTACATCATTTGAAATTTATCTAAAATTTATGATAATGCAGTCTGATTTTTTTTTGTCTACAATCATCTAAAGGTACTATAATTTTAAATTAAGAATATCTCGCAATGCTAGGGGACCTGATTCTACACATTGCCGTGGCATTTGCATTGTGCGAGCTCTGTAGGAACTGTATCAATCCTCAAAGCTGAAATGGCTTGCCTGAAATAAGGGTTAGGACATCTAAACAAGAGGCCCATGGGCCACATCGCTCATCTGAGTAACTATGGTGATACAGTTCTTTACCAGATTTCCCCTCTTTTTACATCTATTATAAGAATAAGATTTTTAAAGATTGTTCCTATATATTTCTATGTAAAACTTGGATTACCTATTGTGGCCCCGCCCTAACCCCGGGGGTCATGATTTTTACAATTTAGAATCTACACTACCCAAGGATGCTTCCACATAAGTTTCAGCTTTCCTATTCTACTGGTTCTTGAGAAGAAGATTTTTAAAGATTTTTCCTATGTATTTCTATGTAAAACTTTGACTCCCTATTGTGGCCCCGCTCTACCCCTGGGGGTCATGATTTTTACAATTTAGAATCTGCACTACCTCAGGATGCTTCCACGTAAGTTTCAGTTTTTCTGTCCCAGCGGTTCTTAGGAAGATTTTTTAATGACCCCAACCTATTTTTGTATTTTCTTGACTTGATTATCTCCCCTTGGAAGGGGACCTGACCCTTTATTTTAACAATTTAAATTCCACTTCACCAAAGGATGCTTTGTACCAAGTTTGGTTAAAATCGGCCCAATGGTTCTTGAGAAGAAGTTGAAAATGAAAAGTTAACAGACGGACGGAGGGACAGACAGACAGCTAGACGGACAGACGGACAAGGTGATTCCTATATACCCCCCCCCCAACTTCGTTTGCGGGGGGTATAAATATGTTGTTGTACACTTCTTCTAAAACAAGTCTGGATAAACAAAAGTTCAAATATATATGTTTAGTAATTTTTGTATATATTTTTTTTTATGAATTACAAAAGAATTTTCATCAATTGATATATTTCATATCCCCTGGTAATGCATGCTGAAGTTTTGTCTATGAACATCTGTTGGCACTACAATCTTAAATTTAGAATAGTTAGAAAAATTATCAGTAGTTATAACATGAGGTATGTTGCGTACGTCCTTAAGGGGTGTCCTTGTCTCCTGCTGTCTTATCATTCCCAACAATCAATAATGAAGTCACAGGTACTTCTTACACACATTGTTAAGAACTATTTTCATATTTTGACGGAGCATTATTTCTAGCGTTGTCCGGAGTCCGCAAAAAGGGCAGTTTACAAGAATGGGAGAGGGCCGCACTTGTTGACATTAGCCGTGGTTTTCAACTGTGCATATCTAGAAATACTTTCAAAGTTAAATCAAAGTTCTTTTTTAAGTCAAACACCGAAACAACATAGGTACACAAAGCGCAGCATTCCTATGCAAAAGAGCAGGTAAGTGAAACCGGAAGGGGGGGGGCATGTTCATGAGAGTATCTGAAGATCTATATCACATGATAAATATATATTAGGACGTAAACCAAAGCATTCTTACGCCGACTTTAGTTCCTTCTTTTAGAAAACTTTCCGATTTAAAAATGGAGCTTACTTTTAAGGAGAGGGGAGGGGGGGGGGGGGGGTGGTCAACAAATTAACTTTCACATATAACTACAATATATCTTTTAAATATGGTATCTTAAACTGTCAATTATCATCTGACAAAGAAAAACTTTATACATTTTAGTTCTAAAATTTGATCAGTTTTGTATATCTTTATATGGAGCTCTTCTTCCAAAGAAGATCAATATAGTCTAAAAATGGCCACAATCACCTAACCTTAACATCTACGTGTAATTTTAAGTATCTGATGATAAGACGTTAGTAGCCAAATATATTACATTAAAACTAAACACGTATTATTGTGGCTATAACGTGTCCATGTATTATATTAATTCGTTACCTTCTTAGTGATAGGTACATTTTAGCTCACCTGAGCTGAAAGCTCAAGTGAGCTTTTCTGATCACCCATTGTCCGTCGTCCGTCCGTCCGTCCGTCTGTCTGTCTGTCTAGCTGTCCGTCTGTCTGTGCAAACGTGTCCGGTCTATATCTTTCTTACGGAGGAACATTAGAATCTACTACTCCACACAAAGATTGCCCATGACCTAAGGGTGTGTCATGACCTTGACCCAAGGTCATTTGAGGAAGTTCAAGGTCACTGGAAGAAAAAAATCATAATTCGTGTCAGGTTCATATCTTTCTTATGGATAAACTCGGTAGGTTCTAATTTCACACAAAGATTGCACATGACCTAAGGGTGTGCCATGACCTTGATCCAATATTATTTGGGGAAGTTCAAGGTCACTGGAAGAAAAAATTCATAATTCGTGTCCGTTCCAAAACTTGAATCTACTACTTCACACAAATATTGCTTATGACCTGAGGTTGTGTCATGACTTTGAACCAAGGTCATTTATGCAAGTTCAAGGTCACTGACAGAAAAAGTTCATGATTCGTGTCTGGTCCGTATATTTAGTCTATTTTTTTATTAGGCTGCGCCTTCGTTTCATTTAAGAAAAATATAATGAGCAATTATATTTGCACGAAAAATGTTTTAGCATTTCTCTCCTCTTTTAGATCCTTAAAATATTCATGATTTAGCACTTCTGAAAAACCCAGCGGGGGGTATTTTGTCCCGTTTGGACAGTTCTAGTTAGACATTAAAATGCATTTCACAGTCCCTTTACATATTGAAACTCTTCAACTCCAGGGGGACGTGTGTCCTTAAGAGTAGCTAAAATCACCTGATGACGATTACACTACAATGATATCAAGAAAAACAACACAATTTAAAATTATTTTGTTATGTAATTCAAAAACCTCTTCCTGGAACTGCATTGCAGATCTAATTTAGGGCGCTTATCAGATGCCTTGAACAATAGTATTGCCGTAAAAATTGCGAAAACATACCAATGCATATCCAGAATATGAAAATCGATATTATTTGAAACGAAATCATCTTTTAAGTAGCTGAAACACATATAAAATCTCATTTATTAAAAAACAAAAATATTTCATAAAAAGGAAATCAATTTCGTAAATTGTATTATGTTTGAAAAGAGCTTTTAATTCTTTATGCGCAAATCCTGATCAAAGTATTAAAATACGGTATGAATTTGTTTTACCAAATCGAATGATAAAGAATTTGATTACCTTGGAGACTTATTGCAATAGAAAAACAAAAGGGTGTTTTTTTAGGGGACTCTACATTGAACAGATGGGAATGCACTATGGCTTTTGTACATTGGATATAAAAAGAATGGTAGGAATTCAATAACTTCCCTATGGATCAACATGAATTGTTTACTTTTCTAAAATAAAGCTTCGTTTTGTCTTTTAATTTGATTTTGTTAAAAAAACGCCCATCCATTTGCGCGGGCAACCTAGCTTCCCTCTCCCATGGGAACTAAATTTACATCGATCTCTGTAATTACCAAAATCTCATTCAAGTTTCTATTTATGTGGACAAAAGGAAATGCTGTTAGTTTGAAAATTGGAAATTTAATGTGAAAATTTGAATATGATCATATTTTCAATTATATGTCTGTTGTTTGATAACACTTTGCAAAGCGCCAAAGATCGGAACAAACACGGAACACAAACTGTGGGCCAATCTAATGCGAATACGCACGTTTTGAGCGCACTGACCAAACATAGGCTATTAAAATCAAACCTAATTATGAATAAACTTGGTAATTTAATCAATACTTTGATTGTTAACCATCACTTTGTATAAAATAGTGTAATGCTGGGTTCGCATAGCCGGAACCTTTAATTGATTATCACCTGTGAAAGGTAAATATTTTATCATATTGATATTTTTATATGAAAGCCTAATACATTATCCTTCGTCTTTTCTTGAGAACTTTTTACATTGAATTGATTTTTCGTTTTAAAAAACTTCAATCAGTGCGCGTGTCTCAAGGATCATTTTAATGTATGATCAAATTTGAGTCCTATAATATCTGTAATTTAAAACATTTAAATACTTTTATTCTTAAACTTCAACAATTTTACAGGAAAAACGTGATTGGCGAAGATACGATCTTCAACTATGATGTCATGGTATAGAAGAGATTCGGGTGTCATAAGTTGCGCACGCATTGCTAATCACCAGCGTGGCCCGGACTAGCTGCATCTTTTAAAGCAGTCATTAATTCCAATCTGTATTAAGAAAAACCCTCCCGGGTTCACTGATATTTCATAAAGTTGCAAATGAAATGATTGAGGCCTATGCCATGTTCATTAGAAATTTATTGAGAGATGTATGCATCACACTCAAAGTGCTTTCATCAATTAAAAATGATTACATAGAGAGCATGTAAAAGGTAGGCAGCCAGTGATCGGGCTGTTAGAAACAATTAATTGCATTTTACAGAGCACTCTGTATAAGATTCTGGGTCCGCGGGACAATTTTACACAAGAATTGAAAAGATATGTAAGTTGATAGAGCGGTGGAGACTGCCCTCGGTAATGAAGAACAAGGTCAAAAGATGAAGAATGGAGTGCTGTAAATTCCCAGGTGCGCTGTTTTTCTAATGATAATCAAATTCTTCTTATTGTGTGTGAACGACATACCCTGTAACTTTTTGTTTTAATTTGAAAACGGAAATATATTATCACCTTTCTCAAATTGTCTGAAACAGAAAGTTCAACGTTCTGTTACAAATTCGAACTAAATCAATAATCACGATATTTCAAAATATTAATATGAATAAGATTGCGTATTTTGGATAATGTTTTTAGAAATATAAATGCGGTTGTATATTGTGTGAAACACATGCCCCCGTATGACAACATTAGCGGGGTTTGAATGTCTCATATGCAATTACAAACTCAAGGTCAAGGGATGGAAAATGTTATCACCCAAAGGAAGGACGCATTCTCAAAGAAAAATTAACAAGTAAAATATGGAAACCCAAACACTAACCATTAAAAAGTTATGGCAAAGATGAAAAGGTTTTTTATTTCAAAATTAAGTCAAACTCCAAGGTTAGGGTGAAAATTTTCGATATCCAAAGAAAGGCCTTGTCACATGGCTATACCTGTGGAATGGAGATTCTAGTACTAAACTTCAAAGATCATGTCCAAAGTTAACGTTTTTTAAAAGTTGGTCAAACGCAAAGGTCAAGGTCGAAAGGTAAAAACTGATTATATCCCTGGAAAGGTTTTTTTTCACAATAAATAAGCACGATACACATTAAGTAAGAATCTCTGAGCATCGACTGTTCAGAAGTTTTAAACAATAAAATGCTTTCTTTGTTTGTTGTTACTGGAATGAACGGAAGCAGCTGTTGCAGAAAAAAATACATAACCCGCGTAAGCGGGTTATGTAAATTTTTTCGGGAATAGCTGCGACCAGAAAGACATTTTATTGTTTATATTTATATCTGTTTAAATTATCATTTTAAATTATTGTGTTAATGATGCGACATTTTGTACGTTTCATTGATGGAACGACTGATCTGTACAGGTGATATGCCCAATGTAGTTTATGCAGGGATGAACGCAATGGGTTTTCAGAAGTATTCATATGTAAATATATACTAGTATTCAAGGTTATAGTTCGGTAGATCTTGCAAAATTGGATTAAACTCCAAAGTCAAGAGGTCAAATATTTTGGATTCAAAGAAAGACCTTGTCACAGGTAATACAAATACATGTATGAAATATTAGAGCCATAGCTCCAGTCAAGCAAAAGTGATGGACAATGATGCGGACAGACAGACAGACGGACGGACGGAGCAAAAACTATTTATCCCCGAAATGTTCGATTGCGGTGAACCCCCAAAAAAAAAACAATATTTACCCAGATTGTGTGTATCATATGAACTTTTTAAAAATATGTAAGAATTAAAATGATAGCCCTTGGATTCCGGGCTGAGGCTCCAAGGAATTTAAAAGTTGTACATGTATTGAAAACGATCAATACTGTTTAAAATCCTCCTTTATTTTGTTATAAAATAATATCAAGAAAAAACTACGAAAGTTTGAAAATCATACCTATGGCTCAAGGTTTAAATCACAAAATGGTATAGTAAGTTGATCCTATAAATCGGACACAAGGTGTCCTTGTAAGATAATTTACAGGTGGCAAATGCATTTTCGTGAAAGGTACTGATATTGAAATTAAAAATATAAAAAAAAAACTCATCTTTTCGCATAAAATCCAATGTCACTTGCAAATTCATACATGCAATATACAGATGAAGTGAAAAGCAAAAATCTTTTGTTAAACCAAATTTAATAACGAGGACCCCCCCCCCCCCACTTTACCCGGAAAAAATTATCCAAAATTTTGTCATAAATTCTGTAGAAATGTAAACTTAATAATTCTGTAGAAATGTAAACTTAATGTTTTACAGCAGCACCATCTCCCTTAAGCTTTGAAAAAAAGAAAATCCAGAAAAAAATAACGATGTTTTTGTCTTCTTCCGTCTTTTCTCACAGAAATTTGCATTATATATATTGCGTAAAAATATGAAAATAAACTTTGTGATTCAACAATTTGTAATCATTGAAATTTTATTAGAGTTTCATACTTCGGTATTGCTTTATTACTGTTTTATTTTTTTCTTTAAAATTCAAGCTTTGGAATTATAAGGGCTTGAATAGCATTTTTTTTAAAAAAAGCTTGGTGCGAATTTCATGATATTTGAGAATACTCTACTTATTATGAATAGATAAAATAACAACCAGTCTACGGGGAATAATACGATCGTTTTTTAATAAAAAATAATTAGAATGTTTAATTCAGCAGGAATCGCACAGAAGCAGCCTTTCATTGCCCATTAAAAGAGCAATTTTTCCTATTAGCCAATTTCTGCATTTCGTCTTTACTTCCTCTATGTGATCAGTTTACAAGGTTAGAATTCAGTTAATAACATGTGTTTAAAATCAACACAGAACGAATTTGAAGTTTAAATATTTATACTACTGATAATGAATTAAGGGGGCGGAGCCCGGCGCTCGTCCACGTGCCGCAGACAAATTCAAACGATTATAACGGGGTCGAATTTCATCGAGTGTTTGATCTCATTGGCTGCTGGTAAGAATTAAACATGTCAGTTTTCGTACAACAGATAATTTCCTGACAGAGGCATTGATTCGTTGTGATTATCAAGTTATGTCAATTAATAATCGTCTGGTTGGCGGTCGACTTCTAGCCTGGATCTCACTCGTCTTCATTTCCTAACTGACAAATTTCATAGAACTGTTTTTCTGCTTTAATTATTCCATTAGTTTGGGTTTATTTTTGGAAGCCGATACATTTTTTACGAATTTTGAAGAATATTTTATTTTGTATAAAACATTCCCACGCGATGGACCTATGCCTGAAGAGACGGTCCTATGATATCGACAGTTTGATTGGTGCTGGGTGTTCGGGTGAGTACTATACAGGTCAATTACTAGTATTGGTCAATTTCTCTGACAAAATGATAAGTGGAACATTATTATACTGTCTGACATTTCACTTAAATAAAATCAGCATTAATATTCATACAGTGTATAAAGTTTTTTTTTTCATTGAAATCAATATATTTTTGTTTAAATTAACATTATTTTATTTTCATTTTATTTTCAAAGTTATACCCTTTTGCTTTTTATTTGACTTTTTAAAATCTACATTATGTGTTGTTAATAATGTATATAGATTTTTTCTATAATATCAAAGATACTTCATAGAAACCAAATATTAGTGGCAGTTGATGGTGATAATACGACGGTTTTTGTAATTACTCATCACGTTTTACAATCTTAATTACGTAAATAAATAATCATGGTATAATATTTATATGTAATTTATTTTCTCTAAGTCTTGTATATACGTAATTCATTATTGCATTCATTAGGTGTTACATATACAGACAAGAAATTGTTTATAATTTTTGTAATAAATCTAATAAAATCATCTTTCTTAGGTAATTGTTATGCCATGTTTACTATAAGAGTATCAAAATTCCCGGTATTAAGATTTAGTCAGCAAGTTAACGTACGATGTTTCCTAGCTCTCATAGCACTTTTCTAAAAGAGGGGAAAGGGTGACCAAGCTTTATTCTTGTAGTTTATTTTTTATATTTAGATTTTGGGAGTGGTTATTATATATATTTTATCTTTTATTTTTAGATTTTGGGAGTGTATATTATATATATATTTTATAATAAGAGGTTGGAGCATTTAAAATCCTGTGATCTGATATAACATTATAAAAATATTTTTATAATAAAGTATAAATTATATATATATATGTTCTGGTGAATAATATCGATATTTTTGCACTGTTTCCCTGCATAATGAAATTTCTTCTTTATTAGTGCTACTGTTGCATCTGATTCATTATCAAGTCTGAAAGGTAGACATTAATTTTATTAAAGTGTTTACGACATTCAGGTGTTAACAAAATTTAAATTTATTGTTTGCGGGGTTAAGCTTTATATATATCTGAGATTTACTTATATTTTCTATATACCTGGTTGGTTTTATTATATATATATTTCTTAATCTTCTGATGATAATATTAATTTAATTATTTCAAAATGTGCACGTATCGGAATCAACATTGATTGGTTTCTTTAAAAAAAAATTAATAAGCTTTTAACATTAAGCTCGTTTTGATATGTGTCTTCGATCAATGATAAATACAATAGGATATTAAAATATCTGTCTAGATTTGAAAGAAATATGATAAATTTAAGATGTAGAAATTGTCTAGGACCACATTTCTTATAGAAAATACGGTAGGATCTTGTCAGCAGAGATGAAATTTGATTTTTTTTTTCTTTTGCATGTATAGCAGAACACATTGTATGTAATCATCCTCAAACATGTAAAATGACATAAATATTCAAATCGATTTCATATTTAAATACATAAATAATTAGTGTACCCATTATCAATGTCTCATATAATTTTTTTTTTTGTTCTTATTCAAGTTAATATCACTTATAAACCTTAGATAAAAGCGAGGATGGAAATGACATATATGTATACCAGAAATTGATTCCGTGCTTATTGCGGACGTTTTATATTATAAAGCATAGTACATAGAAATGGGGTGTCCGTCTGTCTGTACATCCGTCCGTCTGTACGTCCATCCGCCTGTTACGCTTTGGGGTACCCATCTCTTATCCTCAACTCCTCTTATACCAGTGAATGGAATTTAATGAGACTTTCATAGAATCTTTGTTACATTGTGTATCGTACATTTTGTATGTCAAAACAAAGTAACTGTAATATTTTCCTTTTCATGAGACTAGATGATTGTTGTGCCCATCTCTGATCTCAAGCCTAACGCTACCAGACATTACAAAAGGATAGGAACAAAATTAAATATAAATTTATTCCAGATTAGTATCTTGTCTAAAAAGTTGAAGACGGTAATAAAAATCAAAGTTTTCTTCTTTTTCTTCCAACAATTAAATTTATAATATATTTGATCATGAATACTATAAATTAAATATTTGTCTATTTCATGTAAGAAAATGGTACACATACAATACGGAAAGCTTTAATCTTCTTCGCTACATATCATCTTTTAATAAGATACGACTTGCTACATTAATCTTTTATTAAGATTAGATTGACCAAAGTAGAACACCCAACTTATAAAAATTTGTGATGACCATTAGTTACAACCGGACATCTGAATCATTCAGAAGCATCGCCTTATTGGTCCCTTTTGTCTATCTGTAGATATGATTTAACATAATTTATTGAACTGGACAAAAGTAAAACCAACTTAGGTTGTCCTCTCCAACACAAATGAAAATAAAATTTTATATATATAAAAAGACATGTATAACACAATCCAGCAAATGGAGTTCTTTTTTGAAAATTGAAAAAGGGTACCTCAGATTGGCTCATAAAGGGGGGGGGAGAAAAGAGTATCTCATATTGGATTGTTGGAGGGGATGTAAAATTGCGCATCATTGCATGTTTAGTTACTCAAAAATTAATTAGTTCAATAAAAAGTAACTAGTATTGAAAAAAATAAAGGGGGTCATTTTAAAATAAATCATTCATCAAATTTATTACAATTCTGACAAGAAATAAAGTCACCAGTGACATTTAATCCTTTTTTTTTATGTCATTAATATTAACTAAGTGCAGAATCCCTTTCGTATCGCTTTCAATTAGAATATATGCGACGTAAATAAATGCAATTCCGAAATTATTTTTTTTAAATAATTGCCGGATTTTTCCACTAATGAATGAAAATAACATGAATGATCTTTATAACTGTCAAATTTTTATATCCCAATGGACTGCTTTATTAATAAATGAAAAGAGACAGAATTTCCAAAATAGTTATAATTGCTGATTTTTGAGATAATAAATATATGTGTCGAATAAATGTATTTGTAGACTCTAAATTATTTAACAAATTGTGATGATGGATCAAATTAAAATTATAGCAATAAGTCGTGAGGGTATAATATCGATCTGGTCTATTATTAGAATCACTCATTGATTTCACAATCCCAATTTTCAGTTTTTTGGACTTAAAAATTTATATTTTCTTTGTTGCCATTATGCTTCATTGAAATTAAATGTTGAATTTCCGCTGCCTGTCCTAATTTAATGAATGAAACTGAATATTCTGTTCCCGACGTGATAATAATAATAAAGACACAAAACAAAACGATAACCGTAAATGTTTATAAATTTTAGTGCATAATTCATCACACAAAACATTATGAATCCAAAGATGTGCCCGATTATAAATATTTTCTTGAATCGGTTCTATTGCTTATTTATTCATGAATAACTGACAAGCTTTATTCATGTTATGACCGGGAATATTATATTTCGAACTCAAAGGCTTAAAAATCATCGCAGAAATTTTATTCTTTTTCTCTCTCATGATTTTCTTTGTTCAAATAGAAAAGAATACTTTAACAGCTTGTATCAGTACATTCCTAATTATTTGTTTAAGATCTTTCCTTGTTACACAGAAAACCTCAAGTCATATTAAATGAATTATTCATTTGTAAATAAAAAGCATTCAAACTAGCATCCATAATTAGCCAAATTTGATATTTCAAATAAAAAAAAAATTGTAAGTGTTGGGCATTAATCGTTTCCTATAATGAAACGTGTAAATAAATCGTCGTCATTCTCGGTGTAACAAGGCGACCAGTGTTTGCAGAATCATTGAGAAATTATCCAAGAGGCTTCTCTATTTGCTCATTACGATTAAATTTTAACTGATGCTGCAAATGGCCAATTATATGCCAATTTAATTACCTTAACCTTGTCAAAGAAATCAATTTCTCTAGTAATTATGTACATATGTGTACAAGAATTTATTTACGCGAAAAAAAACTTGCAACTGAGAAAAGTACAACGTTATTCGACATTTTTTTTATAAAGGAAAGCGAACAAACACAATCATGATGTACATTTAAATATAACGGGTGTGGGTAAAAATAAAATTTTACGTGATAACTCATCTTCCTAAATATTCTTTTAAATTTCTTTTTATTCCGAAAGCAGTCAAAGAAATACGTTCAAAACGGGAGGACACACAGTATAGCCCATAATATTTATAAATTGTGCGCTTATAAACATTAACCTTGACCACAAACATCTTTTCTTGACTGATTATTTCTTACCTACAGACAGTACTTCAACCAATGACGAAAAGCGAGAGGACACTGAAGTGCGCCAGAATTTCAAACCGAGCACGTTTCCCCAGTCCCCGGATGTAAAAATAAATGTAATAAAGAACGAGACGGGATTGAGTGAAAATAAATACGAAAAGTCGCCGATTGTTGGTGAAGACACATCTAATGATGGAGAAGAAATGACTAGGAGAATACAAATCGACGGTTCTCCTATCGACTTCCGGTCCAATCCGGAAATGTACGGGGACCGGGATCTTGAGGATTATGGAAAACGAAAACAGCGGCGGTACAGGACGACATTTACTAGCTTTCAACTGGAGGAATTGGAGAGAGCTTTTCAGAAAACACATTACCCCGATGTTTTCATGAGGTAAGGTTAATTATTTGCTATTTCCGTATCTCGATGTTATTGATATTTTATTTAAAACTGTCGAATGAGCAATGTTATTTTGATGTCATTAATCTACATTTAAATTTTAAATATGCAACTTTAACAAATATTGATTTTTTAATGTTTTACAGGGAAGAGCTTGCAATGAGAATAGATCTAACCGAGGCAAGAGTACAGGTACTGTTTAAAGTTGGCTTCATTTTCCCCTTCGCTCCTAAAATTTTATTTTACATAGGCATCAACAAAAATTAAATTCAAACATTTTTTCATTACTAGGTCAATACGAATTCAATTTAGATTATCTGAATTGAACGCCCTTCCTTTTCTAATCCATGTTTAGAGCGTGAAGTTTATAAGAACTTTATTAAACGGTGAAGATGAAAAGATGTCCTCTGAAAACCTATTCTCTTATTCAAGGCCAATAGAAATCATATTTCGGTTTCTAGATAATGGCGTTTTGTTTAAATTGGATAAAAAGTGACTACTTTAAAAACATCACAATTAAATTAAAATTATATTGTGTTTAAAAATCACACTTAAAAGGACCGAGCTTAAATGGAAAGTAACCCAATGAAATGGAATGTTTACGCATGAAAAACAGATAATATTTCAGGAACCTCTTGATCGCCTGCTCTTGTTGAAACAGCTTTTCAAACGCTCCCTTCGCCCAGAGTTTTTCATAAGAAATTCGCTCTTGTCCATGACTAATATATCAAACTCATCTCTTCAACTAATCAAGAGCCCTCTGTCGAACAAAACCACACTCAATTCAAGTACCAAAAACGCCGGTAATGGAAGATGATTTTGAATTTGTGGGGACATTGATACTTAAATTCAAACATGTCACCGCCATTTACGAACAATCAAAGTCATTGTCAATGTGACGCTTCGAGTTATTAATTTGTTTGCAGAAGGAATAGTGGTGATATTAAAAACATTTTCGGAATTTAATTAGATCTGTTTAAACAAGGTGTAAGTTCTACGTTTAAGACACCAACAACCACTTAGGTATAAGGGGGAAAACTTAAGTTTAATAGGATCTTTTTCATTAGGGCGTCCTTCATAGACAGTGATAAATCAAATCATTCTCAGTAAAAATATTATAGAAATAAAGTGCACATAGATCAAAAGAAAATAGAAATAGAACTGAATCAAACTTTATTTACTATTTAACAAAACTTGTACTTGACTTTTGTAAGGTACTCAAATAAAAAAATCGCTTTTTATCTCATCTAGGTTTGGTTTCAAAACCGCAGGGCGAAATGGAGAAAGAAGGAAAAAGTTGGACCGCAATGTCATCCATACAGTCCGTATATGGGGTACCCCACACCCGGGATGGCACTAGGACCACGCCCAATCGTCCCGTCCCCTCAAAGTTATACCGATCTTTTATTCAAAGCTTACCACTCTCACATTCAAGGTAGAAATGCGCGCACTTTCGGACAGACGCCACCTGTTTCCAGTTTTTATGGGACGCCAAATTTGATGTCACCGGAAATATACAGCCTTGCCATGCGTGGTTTGATGTATCCTCCGAATTTTGTGAAACTAGCGCCCCCTACACCAGACATATCATTCCAGAATCTATTGGCTGAACTCAGTGTCAAATCAAAGTCCACTTCAGAACGTTTGTCATTTTCGCCAGTTTTGGAGAACGAGAGAAACTCCTTAGTTGGAACCTCGAGGCAAAAGTGTGTTCGAGATTCCGACGAACGGTCAGACGATATAAATCAACCTTTGACTCCGTGACGTAAGAGGCACGATTTGTCGAAATTTAATTACGCCATATTTAGTGCAATACGTTTGAATGAAGGCCATTTTTTAAAATTACGAAAAACATTAGTGCTTTAATTTGCTACTTGTTGTGTTCTAAAAGTGCTGTATTTGATGTTTTGTCTTGTTTTATTTATAATATTTTTGCAACTGAAAACGCAAATCTTGAATAAAAACTTTGAGAAGAAAAGTATAAAAATAATATTTCACGCTTAATAAAACGCTTTTAAATATTCATAAAACCCCCCTTCCTCTTATAACAATGTTTCTGGTCGATCAACACTAGAAGAATTCAAACAAAATCAATAGGAAGTTTTTCCTTATTTTTTAAAATTTAATCGGAACGAAGCCACCATTGCATCGCTGTGGAAATTCTGCGAAAAGCACAATGAGAAATAAAATCTGAGTGGTCAGTCAACTGATTTTTCCCACTGGACAAATTTACGCGTCAAAATGCATTTATTATTTATCCCAGCACATAAATTCAAATTTATTAAATTGATTTTAATGGAAATGATTGTAATAAATTTGATGCCGAGCCACTCCGTATCTTGAACTGGTAACTTCCGGGGTCCCTGTTGAGTGATAAACATTGGCCGGGATTAATGGCACGTGTCCGGCTAATTAAGGCGAGGCTGACGCTATCACGGCCTTTTGCCCGCAGTTCACAAAGTAATTAAATAGACACATTATACTTTGTTCTTGTATGAAATTTTAATCAAATTGATTTTTCATTACCTGACGAATGCCTCTCAATTTAACACATGTCATAAACGTCTTACGTGATTAAAAATAATTTATACGTGTACGTACACAACTTTCACTTTAAAAAGGAAGAATGGCCAAAATAAAGTATGTGCGTGTATATATAAAATGGAAAAAGCATTTTGTATAGAAAAATCGTCTGTCTTCTGTTAAAACCATGTGTCCTTGCTGTCAATTATACAGATGCCCTAATTCCTATCTACTTACCGGGGTTATTCATTGGGATGGTATCGGAAAACAATTGCTCATTAATTGATAAATTAACAGAGAATTTCTCCCTCCGCCGCAGGACTACACAGGAGCGAGGCAGGTGCTCACAGAAAGTGAGGAATTTCCTCATGTCGTAATGAGCTATTAAGAAATAATTGAAGACAAATTTTCCAATGTCCCGGAATCACGATTTCCGCCATCTTCTACATTCTCTTCAATTAAGAAATTATATTGAATAAAAAACGGATATTAGACTGTAGTTTTACCCCAGGGTGATGCGTGACTTTTGGGATCAGTATTGAGAATCCGAGGAAATTTAATCGAATTATATCTTGTACTGGGAACCCATACGGAAAAAAAGGGCAAACAAACTACTATAACAAATTACTAACAAACCACTATGGTTTTATAGTTTTTTTATAGCAAATCACATGCAAATGAGCTAACAGACTATACTCTAACAAACTACTATCAAACGACTATATCAAACCACTCTAACAAACTACTATCAAACCACTCTAACAAACTACTATCAAACCATTCTAACAAACTACTATCAAACCATGCTAACAAACTACTATCAAACCACTCTAACAAACTACTAACAAATCACTGGTAACAAATCCACCAGCACAACACTAGATTTGAATTTTTCCTTTACAAATCCACAGGTCTTTGAAAACACCTAAAACAGTCACAATTTGAAATATTCAACAAGTCTTGTTTCAGAGTATTTTAAATTCCAGGATTCACAAGTTTAGCCAATGAGAGTGCAACATTCCAACATGTTCCCTTTTTCAATTCCAAAAGTCCATGTATTTCACATATTCTAACAACACATCTTCATTTTTTCAAAAAAATGTTCTTCAAGTTCACATTTAATTATTAATATTCATCTGGCATGGAAAATGCTGCAATATTTCCTTTTTTCTGGCCTTATTGCAACTTTGAGAGACATCTTTTTTTGTCTTATTTTCAAGTATACTTCCCATAATCTAATGCATAACTGATCTAAACTAGTATAGGAATTATAGGTCAATCTGAAAATAAATAAAAACCCAAAGCTAGTAAAAAGCATACACATCCACATTCACAGAAGGTTAATTACTGTAGTCCGCAGCCTTATTGTAGGTAAAAAGGAACTTCATGACATGCATTAAATACCTCTTCTGTTATATCCAGATCCATCTTTTAATAATGTTAATTGCTGCTTTTTCCAGTCAGGGATCTTTCAGATTGATACTAACAATTTGAATGTCCCTTCAGCAGTTCCTTTGTTTCTGACCTGCTTGATGGTTTGAAAATTGCAAATAGCAACACCGGATGTAAAGATTTGTTCTTGGAAACTTCAACAATTCTAGATAATTCAACCCTGCATGTCTGGAAAGTAATTTCCCATGTGGTTAGATGCAAATGCTATACTAATAAAACACTGTTGCAAGACACTAAGTCTAACAAACCATAAAGAAATTACAATCACCAGAAATGAAAGACTAACAAACCACTGTAGCTATTTTTAGAAACAGTGGTTTGTTTGTGTTTCATTAAATGCTATACATCAAACTACTTTAACAAACCACGTATAGTTTGTTGGTAGTTTGTTGATGGTTTAATAGTAGTTTGTTAAAAATCTTTTCCGTTTGGGAACATTTCAAACTTCAGCTTGCCTTTTATAGTTTTTTTATCGGGTAACTAAAACACTTTTATATGCCCCTCGTTTTATTGATATTATTGTCGCACCAAGTCCACCAAATCTTCTATAAGATTAACAACGTCATCAGTAAAGTTATATTTCGGGGGATAAGTAAAAATAACAATTGAAAAAGGAAACCAGAGGTACTGTAAGCACTCACAAATTGATACCCCCCCCCCCCCACGCGCTTCCCGTATGAATGGAGTGGTAAAGTCCATGTTGTGCACTGGGAGACCCATCAAAAAGTAAAATAGGAGGCCACAATAGCACTATGTAATAATCTGTGAAAGTATCATTTAGTTTTATTTAGTGGTGTAGGCGGAGTTGCGGATAAGAGATGGACACCCTTTAGTATTCAAGAAAGATTAGCAGTGTCCATGTTTTCCCATTGGAAACCCCAAAAAATGTGTCCGATCAAAAATTTTAATAAATCACGATGCCACTATGAAACAAATATTCTTTGCAAGCCTGACGTTCATCAAATTTCATTCAGAGGCATTGGAAGAGTTGCGGATATGAGATGGGTACCCCAAAGCGTAACAGATGGACGGATGGACATCTCGATCACAAATAGGGGAAAACTGAAGAAAGAAAAACAAACTGGTCAAAATATCATACTTTATCGACTACAACTGAACAGTTTTCAACGTTGCAAAATTCTAATAATTTACCATAAAATCTTTATAACCTAAACTTACACATAATGAAGCCAAATAATTCAGGGGCGTAGCAAGTACATGTGCGTAGGTGTTATCCAATTGCTTTCAAAAGGAAGAACACAAAATTATTGCATTAACCACATTCTGATTGTACTCACAAGTTCTTCCAAGTAATTAAAATTTTTGACATCACAGACAAGACAGAAGTTTTTTTCAATAAAAATGAAGCTCATAAATTAATTTTACTTACCTTGTCATTAGTCTTCTGCAAAATTATTTCATTTTAAAAAATCTGAAGGCCGGTCGGCAGGGGATGCTCACTCCTCAATGCTACCTGATTCCTTGTGTTTGTAGAGGTCCGTGTTTGCTCTGCTCCCGATCTTTGTTGATCCAATGGACTTCTGAGCCAGATAATGGCATGTTCGTTATCTTCATATGAAAAGAAGTTTAAGTTTCTGATTAATGAAATAAATGGTATCTTTGTTGTTTTCGTTGAGTCAAGTTCTCCTACAATCTATTGGAATATTCACATATAATCATTGAGCCCTGTCATTAGCAGACCTCCCGGTATTTCTGTTTATATATAAGTAGAATTTGTTCAAAAAACTTCTACATCAACTTGATAAGAAGTCTCTGCCTAATGCCTTAAATTTGACATTTAGATGTTTCAGACAGATTTACCTTTACTCATACGTTGATTCGATATATCCCTTTAGACATTACTGAGTCTACCTATCAACTTAACTTTATAATGAACCTGATGACGTTATTCGTCAACTTTCCATTTATCTGCAGCAATTTACCAAAAGCACCTACAAAAAGATTTCATATTCTACTTCATTTGATACGCAAGAGCATGATCTATGTACAATTTCTGAGGAAAGACCCATGGTCCACAACGCTCGCCTGAGTCACTTGGCCCTGTTGTTTTCATCCTACCAGATAAACGATTCCTCTATTACAAGTTCTATGGATAACAATCTGATCAATATTTTCCCAAAAGATTTATTTAAATTTGTTGAGCAGCACTTGATCAATCTAAATTTGTGAAATAAGCATAAAAGCACGGACCTCTGGTAATTCCAGGCAGAAGTGGGTTCAGGTATACCTAGGAGAAGTAATCATCCCCTATTGACCTGTCACAAACGTCGTCAGCATTCATTATTAACCAGGAAGATGGAACATTTTAAAGTCAAATCTAGTTTTGAAAATAAAAGTCCAAAAGTTGTCAGTCAATATATATATGATCCCATGATAGTTTTTGTAAAAGACCTATAAAAAATGGACACTTCTAAAGTCGACATTCACATCTCGTAAAACATAGGTAATCAAAGATTACGGTGCTCACCTCGACGAATGTTATTACTTTAGGTAATGCAAATCTCACATCATATTTTCTTAACAGTTAGTATTTATTCTGACAACAATATTCAAGCAAGTTCTGTTTAAATAGGTCTTAACATTCATTGAGGACTGATCTGTTCCAAAAACGTAAACCTCGTCACTCGTTTGAAAAATGTGGGTCAGATCCAGCATGTGAAGCCAGTTTCTATTGTCCATCCTTAGATGCATCATCCATGCAAGTTTGGTCCAGAAAGGGCTTATAGTTACTTGGGAATAACCTAGTCACTAATCTGGTAAATGTAGGTCAGATCCAGCATCTGAAGCAAGTCTAGTAGTGTTCATCCCTAGATGCATCATCCATGCAAGTGTGGTCCGGGTAGGACTGATAGTTACGTGCGAATGGACCTGCTCCAAAAACTGGTCACTCATCT